GTGCGCTGTTCTCAGAGCGTGCAGTCCTAAACTCAGGACACTCACACCAACTCAAAGTTCGGTTATGAAATCAGGAAAAACAGTTAGGACGTCAACTCATCATCACGTGTAAGCAAAAAAACTAAATCAAGCCCAATACAATGGCTGCTTGAAACGATGGAGGGTTTGAATACGTGATCCACAAGATTGTTCACCGTCCCATATTTTTCAGTGAAATACTAATCTTGTAAATAAAAAATGAAAAACAGTCAGTCTCTCTACAAATGCCACACTATCGTCCTTTTACTTCCCTATTTTTATCTTCAATTTATAGCACCATATTTTTTGTAGCTCATGTTACATGTTGTCTCCAGAAACGGTAACTTTGGGTAAATTATGTGTTTTACGTAGGGGTCTCCAGCCACAGTTTGTCAAAATAATTAATTGGATCAGTAGCCACTTCCTGGCCACCTTCTTTCCTGGAAAAGAAAACGCTGTGAAAGCTAGCTGATTCATGCTGCTGCCTGCAGATTGCTTTGAACTAATGTCTTTCAGGAAGGCCACGGATAAACATGAAGAACGTACCTGTGTACGTGCCATGGGCAAAGCAAGAGCAATAAGCCAAACATCTCCAGCAACTGTAAGGCAGATTGCTCTTGTGCAAATCTATTGTGCATGTAGGAGCGAAGGTATTGTGATGTGGCGGGGAGGCTGCATGCTTCAAGAGAAACAGTGCATCAGAGCTTTAAAGTACTGTAAATGAAAGCCACTTTAATTCAACATAAAAATAAAACCACCAGCTTGGACTACACATACACCTAGAACTGTCAGATTATTCTCAGAGCTTGGAAAGGATATTTCTTCCTTCCAATTGCAGGTGCTTTACAAACCTCATCAAACCCACATGGGATGACATGGCCCTCATGTTTAGAGACAAAAATGTTATGGGACTTCCTGAAGACCATACAGTAAGCCAAAGGAAAAGTATAAAACAGACATTGCTGCTTGTTATTGTTTATCAATACAAATTACTCTAGAAAACAAAAGCTTGTCCAATTTTTTATTTTTCTTTTCACTTCAAATTTGAATGACTCTGGAAAAGCTGTTTCTCCTAATATTTATAAAGGAAAATAATTAGAAACTGTTGAGAAGCTCATATATTTTGTTACCACTGCAGCATTTTTCTTCCTTACGAATGTTCAGGAGAAATATAAATGGGGCAGCCTGTTCTTGTTTCCAGACCGCAGTAGTGGTCTACCGCTAGAGGCATACCATAATGCTGCCTGCCTGCCTTTCAGTACAAATCAAGCCTATGAGTTACACTCCGGCTTTCTAAATGTGAAAACAGAAAAGGCTCTGAAGTAGGTATCAATGACAACATGAACTGCCTACTGTAAGAACCATAAAACATCACGTCGAACCTGCTAATGTCATACAAACTGATAACACAAATGCACTCCTACTCAAGAAAAATATGCAAAGCAAGGAACTAGGGGAAAAAAAACAGGTTTACATAAAATTGTAACTACTTATTTCAATGATGTAAATGACAAAGTTACTAACCTTTGTTACAGAAAATCAAGCAGTTTTACAATAAAATACTTATTGTAAAAATTATCCAGTCTTCACAAACTTTCTGATGGTTCCTGTGGAACTGCACTTCTGGGCGTATGACTCTTGAAAGGTCACTTACATTCAAAAAGCAGTTTTGGAAGAAAAATCCATGAATCACTACTGAAACACAAGCGAGACTTCCTTTGGCCATGGAAGTCCATGAACAGCTAGTCTCTAGTGGCCTCAAAACGTCCCCGACTTCGCATTCTTCCTTACACTTCACACCTTACCTACTGTCGGAGTCAGAATAGTGGACTTGATAAGTCTGATCTGACCTGGCCTTGCTGCCATCTTATTATCTGAAGTATTACCTCAGTTTCATAGATGAACATATATATACACACCATCTTGTCCTCTATACCACCACTTGCTTTCTACAAAACAGAGGATACCATATTGAAAAAAAAAAAAAATAAAGCAGCATACCAAGATAGGATGAAAAGAATAGACTTCTACGCTTTATTTATAGCAGAGGGAAGGTTTAGGTAACAAAAACATGTAAGAAATATTTCATAATAAATTCAAATTATAGGAGCAGATGCATGAATTATATTCAAAATTCAATATACAATCATCAACACAATGTAGGAAAACATAGCAAAGCAGTGAGAAAATGGCCCATTTTAAGCATCTCTGCAAGTGCAAACAAAACAATAAATTAACTACCCATGACCGTAATTGAGAACATTATTTAAGCATACGGCTGACCTCTTTGCTGATTTGTAGTCTAAGACCACAGATAAAAAATTTAGTATCCAAAGTAGCATTGAGTTTTCCATCCATAATATTTAGAAAAATAATGGGACATTTGCACGGTGTAGCTGTGTTTCTGTCTCCACAAGACTGGGGAACTACTGCAGAAGACTGCACTATAAAGGTTTTTTTCCTCACAAAGGAAGACTTTAAGATAGTCGGGCATAAGCAAGGGAACCCATTTGTAAAATTTTTATGAATTGGTTTTGAAATCACAGAGGAAAAACGAGAAAAAACAATACGTAAAAGCTGAGAAAAATCTCTTATCCCTTAAAAGAGCAACCCTCTTTCTCGTAATCAAATAACATTTTTCAAGAACAGCTGGAACCAAGAGCAGTCTCTTTCCTTTGTTCCCTATACATAAAAAAATTGTCTTTAACTCCTTCACAAGTCTTCTCAAACAAAAACCAAAAGCTCAGAAAGCACAATCCCTCCTTTATCGTCTTTTTCACTTAGAGTCAAAAACGATTGCTTTCATAATCATCTACCACAAAAACAGCATTACCATTTTATGCCTTACAGAAATCTCGCTAAAATGCGTCCTTTTGTATTTCAAATAGTCTTGAATTGACAAATTCCTTCTAGAAAAGTGTAATTT